CCTGGTCACCAAGAGCTGCAGGGACAACTGCAGTGGTGGCCATTGACTAGGGAGGGAAACAGCAAAGAGGAAGACAATCTCAGCTGTGGACTTTCTGCTGTCTGGAGGGTGCTGCCATTTTGATTGTTTAAAAGTGGTGGCCATTTTGAATATTTAAAGTGACAACATTCTCACTCAGTTCCAAGGACCTAAGAATAGGCTCCACTTGCCAAGGGCAGCAGGGACATATGGGAGGCTGACAACAGGAAAGCAGACGGGTGGTGAGTATATAAGTCATACCTCCTCTCCCTAAGCCATACCTCTTCATACCTCCCTCACCTGAACCCCTGATAACTATTTATGTATTTCTATTTCTATGAATTTGCCTATTCTAGAAATTTCATATAAATGGGATTGTACAATATTTGTATTTCTGTGTCTGATTTACTTCACTAAGCCTAATATTTTTAAGGTTCATTCATGTCATAATATGTATCAGGCCTTCATTTTTCTTTGTGGCTGAATAATAATCCATTGTATGGTTATATCACATTTGTTTATCTGATCATCTGTTGATGGGCACTTTGGTTTTTTGCACCTTTTGGTTATTGTGAATAATACTGAAAGTAAGTATCTGTTTGGGTCCCTGCTTGCAGTTCTTTTGATTATATGCCTACGAGTGGATTTGCTAGGTCATATAGTCATTCTGTGTTTAACATTTTGAGGAACTATCAAACTGTTTTCCTATGTCTTTTATTTAAAAAAATTTTTTTAGTTTGACTTAATTTCAGACTTCTAGAAAAACTGAAAGAGCAATGCAAAGAATTCCCATATACCCTTAAGTCAGTTTATTATTTTAAGAGAAATTTGCAGACATGATGCCTCTTTACCCTTAAATACTCCAGTGTTTGTTTTCCAAAAACAAGAACATATAATTATCAAGATCCACGAAGTTAACAGTGATACAGTAATACTATCTAATCTACAGACCTTATTCAAATTTCACCAATTGTTGTTATGTATTCTATAGTAAAAAAACAAAATAAAAACAGTTAAAATGACAGATGTTTTGTTACATGTATTTTATCACAACAACAAAAAGAGAAAAAGAATCCATCACTGGGGCCTATTCTGAAACAAAATGGCAAGTAAATAAAGGGTATATTTTTAGTAGAACCTGACATCTAAGCCTCAAATAACCAAGACTTAACTGCTAGATGTAGACACTTCTTCTACCCCATAAAAAGCCTCAGATTTACTTCATCTTGAAATGAGACTAACAGAGCATGTTAGATAAAGAACTCGACTCTATAGCAAGGACAAACCACTCATACATACTCCATGAAACAGGATAATGACTAAATACTAATAATTATAATTGCTACTATATTTGAGTACTTAATTAGAGCCATGTACTTTTCCTTGATATCCACATCTGATCCTTAGAAGAATCATGGATATCTAGCTACCTAGCCTACTTTAACCCCTTTTTCCTAAGAACCATCTTCACCCAGAGATAGGCCCTGTAACCATGTTGTTACACATGACTCCACTTTCCTAGTCACAACTGATTAGATCAGAGGTGATCATCTGACCAAATAGTGCTAATGAGATGACATTGCCTGTATATTTAGAAATGAGTCTGAGGGGCAATAGATATATTTTCTTAATTTTATTGTGTTTTGGGTATAAATTTACAGAGCAAATTTATGTTACATTCAGCAGCTCATGAATATTTGATTTCACTCTTGATTACCATCCCCAACCATAAAAATCTGTCCTCACCTCCTATCCCTGTGACTACTGCCTCCCTGTGCCCTTTTTATCTATGCATTCTTGTCTGTGCATTCTTGTCTGTGCAGCTTTCCCGCAATGTGAATGCTGCCCCTCTGGTGTCTCATGGCTGATGGCTCTAAGGGGTGCATCACCCTGGGGTAGGTGTAGGTCTTTCTACTGCTGGGCTGAAAGCCAATCCATGGGAGTGAGTCCATTTCTAGGCCCAAAGAATAACCTGGGGCCATAGTCTTGGGGGTTCCACCAGACTCTACCCAACCAGTAAGTACTTCTGGTCATTTTTGTGTGTTTGAATTTTGTTCCACAATTTTCCTCCCACTCTATCCAGGATCTCCAGTTTTGATCCCTGTCCAAGTGGTTGGCATTGGTGGTCTCGGGGTCATGAAGGCTGAGGTCCTCATGGTCCATCTTATCCTTGGACTAATTATTTCCAGATGCCTTTTATTTTCTTCACTCTTCTTTGATTCAGATGAGAGAAGACCAATAGTTGCATCTTAGATGGCCACTCAAAAGCATTTAAGACCCCAGTTGCTATTCACAAAAGTGGGTTATAGAACAAAATTTTTATATATACTCTGTTGTGCTAATTGAGCATGACGGGCAATATCTTAATCACTTAACAGGATACTTGTAAAAAGCTTGGTAGTAATCAATTTTCCCATGTGCAAGAAAGATGAGAAATGGATATTTTCTTAGGTATTTGCTTACCAGATCTGTGCTACATCGTATTGAGATTTATCAGCCCTTAGGGTCAATGAGAGAGGAGCTCTGGTGGCACAGTGTCTAAGGCTTTTGACTGCTAATCAGAAGGTTGGAGGCTCAAACCTACCAGCCACTCTACAGAAGGAAGACTGGGCAATCTACTTCCATAAAGACTTACTGCCTCGGAAACCCAAAGGGTTCCTATGAGTAGTAATCAACTCTATACCAGTGGGTTTTTTTTTGTTTTTTTTTTTTTTAGAGTCAATGAGAAACCTCAGTTGACCTCCAAAAAGAATCTTTTTGTTGCATAAACTAGTTCAAATTGGGTTTGCTTCCTTTATCAAATCTATTCTATAAATGAAAACGTTGAGAAGTTGAGTAACTTGCAGAAGGCCACCTGATGAAAAAGAGGCAGCAGTGCTGAGATTAAACCAATATCATATTAATCCCTGAGCCTATCACCTACCTTCTATGCCACTTTTCTCGCATGTCTTAGGAGGCTCACATCTCCTTAAAGTTTATTGTGCCAATATGAACTTTTTGTGGTGGAAGATGCATAACCCGAGGTGACAGGATTCACTTCTTAGTGGAGGTGTGAATTGCAAGAACTTTATTCTCCACTCCACTCCTGCTTCAGCAAACCTGAGAACATTGAATTATATAGGAACTGTAAGATCAAAGAAATATGCAATGTTGAACCAACACATGGAGAACACCTGTCTGAGAAATCACCTGAAAGATGGTAGACTTCTCATGAAAAAGAAAGAAATTTCTGTTGTCTTAGCCACTGAAATTTTGGAGCTGTTGGTTTCTTTAGCATAACCTACTTATCCTAACATACTCAACTAACCACATCTGTACTCCAGATCTAGTTCTTTTCCATTTCACATCAAATAAACTAACTTACCCGTCTCTTAGAGTGTTGTTTCAGTTATTATGGCTGCATAATAAACCATTCAAAAGTTTTAACAATGACTTATTGTTTCTCATGATTCTGTGGGTCACTGGGCTCAGCCACATGGTTCTTCTATTCCATGTAGTGCAGCAGATTACTCATGTGGTTGCATTCAGCTGAGAACATGACTGGGACTAGAATGTGTAACATGATCTTTTATCCTTGGGGATTTCTCTCTACATGGTCTCTCAATATTTGGAAGTCTAGCCCAAGCTGCTTTACAACATGGAGATTTCCAAGAGGACAAGCCCCATTGTAGAAGTGTTTATCAAGCCTCTACTTGCATTACACTTACTACTGTCCCATTGTCCAAAGAAAGTCATGTGGCCAAGCCTAGTATCAAAGTGGGTGAAACTATATAAGGAGTGAATTGGAGAAGGCCTGGTTCTTTGGGGGCCATCAATATAACAGTCTAGTACAGCCATTAATTAAACGTTAAGAACAAATATTCAAAGTTTAAAAAGTTTTCACATTTATTATCTCATTTTGTTTAAGAATAACCCTTGAGGAACAAACAAATTCCATCCCTATTTTACAAAGAAAGAGAAAGTGGCTCAGAAATTTGGAAACTTAAAAATACATAACTTTTAAATGGTAGAACTGAGACTTTGACTTAGGCCCTCTTACTGTCAAAAAAAAAAAAAAGTATTTTTGCTATAACATCACAGTATCACAGTTATCTTTGAGCTGCACAGTCTATAACATGTAGCTATGATTTTCATGCTTGACATTTCCAGGGTTTTAAAATATATATATTGACAAATGAAAAAGAAAATCTTTTTTTTCCCCCAATACTTTTTCTGGACCTTAAATAATTTGATTTATTGATAGACTGATTGCTAGGAAAACCATCTGATTCTTAAAGACTTTGAAAAAGATCTTGTAAAAGAAGCTATTGGCAATGTGTTCTTATTATATGTTGTTGTTGTTATGTGCCATCAAGTCAGACCCAACTCATAGCGACCTCTCCTTGGGTTTCACTACGGAAGTAGATTGCCCCATCTTCCTTCTGAGGAGTGGCTGGTGGATTTGAACCGCCAGCCTTCTGGTTAGCAGTCAAGTGCCTTGGGCACTATACTACCAGAGCTCCTCTAAATAAGCCAGGCTGGTTCTTTGTAAGAGTATACACATGCTAAACCTCGTAAGGGTGTTTACTTAGACTTTGTGGTACCCAAAGGCTTTTCTGAGGAACAGAGCTTCCTTACTTCACCCTGGAACAAAGCCAAAGAGTTGCAACACAAAACTCCCAGGCCCAAGTTTTTTAAGGCATTTGTACAAGTGTAAATGTCAGTACCAACAGACCACCAGTGAGTGACAGGACTTGTATCAGGGGTAACAAGGGTGGAGTTGGGGTCCAGAGCTTGTAAATAAAAGTCCCTATTGAGAAAGAATCCAAAATTACTCTGGTTGCTACTTATAATTCTGGATGCCTGAAAATACATCACAAAGAAATTGGGGTCAGATCTGGCTTAGAAGTGCTGCCTGTGGTGCTGTTGCCATGGTAAATAATTGTCAGGAACAGAGATCCAGAGAAATCAGCCTGTTCCTGCCCATCGTGGGCTCGAGCTGGCTACCAGGCCTTTCCTGGATGAGGTGTTCCATTGCAGGGGCCCTCTGTACTGTTCTGTTGTTGGGTTCCATACTTTTGGCCCCCCGTGGGCAGGTGACATTTTTCATTAAGAACCTCAGCTGACAGGGCCTTTGCAACATTCCTTTCAATTTCCTTGTCACTTTCCTGTTAAGGAGAGAAATAAGGAAAATTTAACTGTACAACCAAATACCTCTGAGGTCCCTCCTTGTAGAGATACCCTTGTGAGAAGCTTCTCCTTGAAGCAGTCTCAAGCTTCACACTTTCCCTCTATGAACCATCTAATGACATTGTGAAAGCACAAAAAAGGCACATAAGAAGAAGTGTCTTGAGGTAAGGGGCATTAGAAAAATAAGTCAGCCTGACCAGAGGAGCTCAGTGAAATTGTGAGACATGATTACAAGGTGGGATGCTTCACTATACTGCCTTAAAATTGGAGCAACCAACCTTCCCATCTCAGGCCTCTTGGTGACCCCATCAGGATGCCACGTACCTTATTTTGGATTCTATAGTACTCATTTAACACATACTGATATTTGGGTTGATCGAGACCAAAGAAGATAGCAAATCTTCCACCAAGGAATTCACACACTAAAGGAAAGAACAAACACTTCAGTAAACCGAATGAGGAATTAGAGATGCAGTGTTTAAATTTGCCTGCAAGTGATCTATTATTACCCTTAACTTCAAGGCAGAGTTCCTGGGTGGTGCAAACAGCTGCTAACCAAAAGATTGGAGGTTTGAGTCTACCTAGAGGCATCTTAGGATAAAGGTCTGGAGCTTTAATTCTGAAAAATCAGCCATTGGAAAAACCTTCAGAGCACAGTTCTACTTTAACACACATAGTGTCACTATGAGTTGGAAATGACATGAAAACAACTGGTTTATGTTATTTATATATGTTTTTAACTTCAGAGCTGAGAGAAAATTTCAGTTGTTCTGTACTCTCAAAACAATTCTAGGACTCAAAAGGAATTTGTCAAATCTATCTCCATATGTAATATAATGAGCTGGATCAAGAGAGAGTCCAGGTGAAGAAGCATGAGAGATTTTCAAAATACTTCACAACAGGTACAGCATGAGTTTTGACCAATCAGGACAGATGTTGCCCATTGCCATGCATTCCATCCGAACATCAGCTGTGAGAACAGACGAAAACCACAACTGAGCGTTCACAAGACTCATTCCAGAAATTCGGCCATGTATCCAGGTAAATACTTTCAGCAGTTTAAGGACTTCCATTTTCTGCTGTCAGTCGCAGCAGCAAGGTGGCCTGTAGGCTCAGCACTGATTGTTATAGTTAGGGGCAAAGGTTTAGCATGAATAATGAGTGGTCTATTAAAGGTGTCTCCTTCAAAATCATAGGGCTTTTGCCTCACCGTTGTTGGATTTCCTGATTCCCTTCAGCTGTTGGGATATTGCTCATATCAAAATGATACTCTTTATTTTGTTTCCAAAAATACTCTAGCTCTTTATTCTGTGTATATGTCACAGTGCCTAGTACATGGGTAGAAAACATTTAAAATATTAGGATAAATCTCAGGAAGCCTCTTTATGAATTGCTAGAATTTTAAATTGAAAGAATTAACTACCAGTGCCCGAGTTCCAACTCTACCCAAACTCTCTGTATAGGGATGAGGGTGCTGACCCCTAGTATATTTAAGTCTACCTTCTGGATGAGTCCCTGGGTGATACAAAGAGCTAAATGCTTGGCTGCTAACCAAACGTTGGAGATTTGAGTCCACCCAGAGCCACCTTAGAGGAAAGGCCTGGTGATCAACTTCTGAAAAATCAGCCATTGAAAACCCTACAGTCACACATGGGGTCACCATGAGTTAGAATCAACTCAATGGCAACTAGTCACTAGTTACTATCTGGAAACCTCATGCAGAAGCACTTTTACACCACAGTTCTGTTTGGAGCCCTGAAGGAAGTTGAATTCCTCACGCAGCCTATCCTGCCATCCTAAGTCAAAGCCCAACATGTAAATCACTGTGACCTCCCTGTTCTCCTCCATTCTCTCAGCCCCATATTAATATTTTTATTCCTTTCCCCTGGCCTAAGCTCCTATGGATCCGTCACTCACAAATATTTCACCTCTTCAAACAATCTTGTCTTAACTAAAGCATAGACTTCCTTGGAAGACTGCATTACTTCCGCCAAGGTACTGTAGTCAGGGTCTATAGTCACTGGGTCCCCAGTGTAACTTCTAAACTATTAATCCTCTGTTGTTGTTGTTGTTATGTGCTGTTGAGTCAGACCCAACTCATAGCAACCCCTCTCTGGGTTTCTGAGGTGGTATCACTACAGAAGTATATTGCCCAATCTTCCTTCCAAGCAGTGGCTGGAGGGTTTGAACCACCAGCCTTCTGGTTCGCAGTCAAGTGCCTTAAGCACTACGTTACCAGAGCCCCTTATGTAAAAATATTTATTCCTTGGAGGCTCATATCATCTGGCTAAATCGCCCCTATCATCAGTTTTTATTGCAATTTAAAGACCCTCTGATCACTCTCATATCCCAGTCCTCAAGCTGGCCTTAGCATTACATACTTTTGTGGCTCTGTTGAGATATCTTCTCCATATGTCACAGCATTCCTGAGTCTCCCGTCCATAGTTGCTATGCTCTCCTATCCTGGCAAGTGACAACAAGTTATAATTATATGAATATTTACTGGTCTGTATCTCCCACCAAATACTGAGAACTTTGAAAGCAAAGACCCTTGTCTTTTTTTTGTCTTTGTGTTCCAGGGTCCAGAAGAGTGCTGGAAACATTATAGGTACTCAGGAAATGTTTATTTAATGAATGAAAGAAGATAAATTCTAAGAGCTACATTTTATATTTTCTCATATTTTAAAAGTAAAATTTTCCCTATCACATGTACAAGCATATACAAGTTAGAAGGAAATGAGATGTTGAGATTTTGAGATGTTGCAAAATGTGTTCTAAGTTGGCAAAAAACAAGCAAAATAAGATTTAGTATTTTACTCACTATAAATAGTCACTTAACTCATTCATTATACCACTAAGAGTGGTCAATAAAGTTCATGTTTATAATAGGTGACTATCATGAGGAGACTGGGAACTATGTCATATAACAATAGTTTCTAAAAAGAAACTGGGAAGTTTATTCAACAAAGAGTCAACTTGGGGAGACCAGACTATTGCCTTCAAATACTTGAATATCTGTCCTATAAAAGAGGAATCTAGACTGGGTTTGTATGGTGCTAATAAGGACAACTAGAATCAGCTGGAACAACTTTAAAAGAATACAAAATTTGGCCCATCATAAGAAAGAATTTATTAACAAGTGTTGGCAAAAGATAGAAGCGTCTGTTTGAAGATGTAAGATTCTGTTCCATTAGAATGTCCAAGTTCAGATTTAAGATCAGATCATCACTTCTTTAGAATGCCATGGAGTAGATGAAACCATTAGAAGCCCCATCTAACTCTGAAGGTTATATATGTAGGACAGAAAATAATTACCTTAGCAATACTTACTAGAAAATGAGGTGCTTGCTATTCGCCCTGCCCAAAACCATAGATAGGACCTCCATGGAAGTTTAGACTGAATAAAAGAGAACAAAACCAAGTTGGGAGTAATTAACAACATGAGTAGTAATTGCAGTCTTTCATGCAAAGATTTCAAAATACTTTATGATGTGTTCCATTTTCTCTCTCATAGGTGAGAAAACGAAGATTATCCAAATTATGACTTGACTATACATGGATCTAGAAAGAAAATCAGGGAGGCCCACGACTTAGTTTCAAACTATTCTTTCTAAAAACCTTGCCTTGCTTAATTACTCACTCACTAAGCTCCCATGTTTCCTAATATTGATATTCTAAGCTTACAAGGTCAAGTGTTGAATTCATTCTCTCTTGCTCTTTTTCTTCCTCCTCCTCTTCCTCTGTGCTATATTCTTCCATGACGTCTCTATCAACAAAATGGATGATCCTTTTGGGAATAATCTTTTTGGAAGGTCTACTGTTCTCCACTTGTAACTGCTGTAAGTTGTCTTTTTCCATAAGGAAGGAAAAAAAAAAAAAAAAGAAACTAGTGAAAGCAGACAGCTTAGGAAAAGTTGCCCACGGCAATGTTTATATAACAGAGAGGTGTCTAGTTATTCTCAGTGGATGATAAAGATAAAGAAGTCAAAGGTAATCACAGCTATTGTCTCATAAATTCTTCAAATCCAAGAAAGAGATGCTCAGTCCTGTAATAAAAATAGAAGAGATGAAATTAGTAGCAAATTTGAACATTGAGTTTTCAAACAAAAATTTTAACAGGATTCCCTTGCTCCTTAATTGCAAAACATTCAACTGCTATTAGGAAGAGGAAGTCACTCTGCAGAAGTTTCTCACTCATTACAATAAATATTAAGAGGCAATATTGGTGATGGTTAAGATTACAGGATTTTCCCAGACTGGGAGAAATATTGTAAAATATATACTTAGTAAAGAACTTACGGGTAGCCCTGGTAACACAATGGTTAAGTGCTTTACTGCTAACTGAAAGGTTGATGATTTGAACCCACTAATCACTCTGTGGCAGAAAGATGTGGCAGTCTGCTTTTGTAAAGATTTAAAGCCTTGGAAACCTTTGGGACAGTTCTACTCTGTCCTACAGCGTCACTGTGAATCTGAATTGATTTGATGGCAACAGGTTTGGTTTTTGGTAAAGGACTTATATCCAAGATCTATAAAGAATTATTACAACTCAATAGTTAAAATAACAATTAAAATATGGAAAAAAATATTTGAATAAACAGTTGATTGAAGAAGATTTAGAGATGGGAAATATACATATGAAAACATGCTTGATGTCATTAGTCATTAGGGAAATGCAAACTGAAATCATAAAGGGTATCATATGGGCATCATAATATGTCCAGTAGAAAGGCTAAAATTAAAAAGATTGACAATAGCAGTGTTGACAAGGTCATGGAACAACTAGAACTCTCAAACATTCCTAGTGAGGATGCAAAATGGTATAACCACTTTGGAAAATGCCGCGGACCGAACCAGCCGGACCAGGGAGTGAGGTCTTCGAATCAAAGTGAAAAGTGAATAGGGAGTCGGCGATGGCTAACAGAAGACAGACAACTCTTGAGATTGTCTGCAGCTGACAGCGTTTATTATGCTTCAAGGCTAAGTTTTTATTCTCTTGTTACTTCCTCTTACAAGTCTCTATCTTAGGTCATCTAGTGCACATGAAACTAGCAGGCATAACCGCAAAAAATCAAAGCAAGGTTACAAATCAAAGCACAAATTCATTCCTTATTTTTTACAACCAAAAATTACTTGTTCCCAATCATATTCATATCATCCAAAAAAGTAATTCCAAGTAAGCTTTATGCCACATTATTCTTTTTCCTAAATGATTAATCCATCGCCTACCTTGTTCATCATATACTCCTGTAAATGGCAATGGCTCTGGAGTTGTAGCAGGTAATTTATACATATTCTTACTCCCTTTCGGGGGTCGCCACAATTTCCTATTCCCCAAATCATACACAGGTCCAAATTCAGTCATTACTGTTGGAGGTATTTTCTTTGTAGGTTTTTTCTTGGTGGTACTTCTTTTGGAGCGTCCTTTTAATTCCTGAGGGGATTCTTGTGTTGGTTGGAGAAATTCCAATAAAAGTTCTTTCTATTCCAATTGATTGAAGGAGTCCTTTAGACACATTTCTGTTCCTTTAGGGAGTTCACTAAGTGTACCAAATAATGGAATATCCGTATTTCCTGGAAATCTTTTTTGTCTCTTCGTCCACATCAAGTCCCCCTCTAGGTGAACTTCCTGATCCATATTGTACCAGAGAAGTCACCTCATAACTATTTATAATGATGGCCAAAATAATTATTAGCAACATCAAGGAAAAGCAGATAGAAATAAAGCCCAGGAGAGCTTGCCTCACTCCAGGAAGCTGGCTTTCTTTAAGCATTTGCTTCAGGCTGGTGATCATGTCACGCAGACCACACTGAAGTGGGCGTGGCAGGAAAACAATTTGATAATTTGTTATAAAGTTAAACATACACTTACCATATAATCTTGAAGTTCTATTCTAGATATTTATCCAAGAAAATTAAAAAGTATACTTACAAAAAAATTATATGTGTATGTTCATAGCAGCTTTATTACTAATGGTCAAACTAGCTACAGCCTAAATGTCTAGAAACTGGTGGATGGATACACAAAATTTAGTATATCCACTTATTGAAATATTACTCAGGAACTGAAAGTAATGGACAACTAATACTTGCAACACTATGAATGAATCTCAAAATTATTATGCTACGTGAAAAGCCAGACACCAAATACTGCATTTATATGATACCATTTATGTGAATTTCTAGTAAAGGCTAAATTATAATGATAAAAAACAGATCAGTGGTTGCTAAGGTTGGAGGAGTAGAGGGAAAAGAAAAACTGCAAAAGGGTACAGGAAGCTTTTTGGGGTGATGTACATGTTTTAATCTATATCATGATACAGCAGTGGTTCTCAACTGTATATAATGTCAAAAGTAATAAAATTCTACATTTAAAATTAATTAATTTTATTATATTTAAATTAAACCTCAATAAAATGGAAAAGTTTTGAAGCCAGACTGCTTAAGTTTAAAATCCTAATACTTAATATCTCTGTGCCTTACTTTCCTTATCTATAAAATAAGAATATGATATAGTGTCAACCTTAGAGGATTGTTATGAGGAATAAGGGAGCTAAGCCATGTAAAGGAGTTAGAATAATTCTCAGCACACAGTCAGTGTTTGTGGTAGTTAAGGTTATGTGTCAACTTGGCTGGGCCTGGTTTTGAGTGGCTAGACAGCTGGATGTAGTTATTTCCCATGTTGTCTGCTTCGGTATATAAGGAGACGCTTTGGGAATGTTCTGCAGCCTTTGGCACTCTTGAATACTGCATGTAGCTGAGTCATTATTCAGCAGCTTCCATGTTGTCTGCCGAGACTCTTAATGGACTTGAATCAATGGCCTTCCATGTGGTTTGGTAATTTCAGGACTGTGACTTTTTGCCTGTCGATGTTGGGTTTGTCAGCCTCGGCAGCTGCCTGAGTGAAGAAAGCCTCCAACTTCAGTGGGCTGGGAGCAAGAGGCAGAGCTGAAGCCCAAGGTCAAGAGGCTTTCACCCAGCCCCTAGAGCCTGGCACTTTGAACTCAGACTTCTAGCCTGTAAGAGAATAAACTCCTGTTTGTTCAAGCCATATATGTCTGTTAGAATGGCACAAGATGTAACCAAAACAGTGTTCAGTAAAAACTAGCTATTATCAGGTAGCTATCATTTGCTTAAGAGTATATATATGTCAGGCTCTATTTTAATGTGGTAAGTGCACTTTTTGCCTTAATTAACATTCAACAAATTTTAAGATCTTATCAGCAAATATGGAAGACTGAGCTGATATAGAGGAATTCTTCCTGCTTCAAACACAGGAAGTGCTGAATACAATTACACCTTACAATACAATTACATTAAATCATTGCTTCACTAAGGAAGAAAATAGAAGGAAGGAAGGGAGTAAAAGCACCCCGAATTAACTTAGGATCCCTGATGTGAGATGGTGGAGATGCTAAGATCTGAGGCTAAAAGTCCATTTTGAATCAAAACTAATCTCTTCATCATGCATACAGCCTATCATTCCTGTAACTCTCCACTGCAACCCTAAGAAAATTCCTTGCTCACCAATTTCAGAAAGCAATGTAATTTTGTTTACTTAAAGGTTTTGCTTTTTGCCTAAGAGGCCTGGTCCAAAACAATTCTTAGAACAAATTGTAAAGTTTATTACTCAAGATAAACTTTAGAATTACGCATCTCGTCCCTGCAGTCACACAAGGAGGGCCTCATGATTGTTTCAAGGCCAGATGAATGAAAGTAATGTTTACTTTGTAACTTAAAAAAAAAAAAAAAAAAAAAAACCCACCTTAGAAACATACGTAATCTCCTACCAATTAGATATACCGTCACCTATTTTTGTAACCGTTACCTAAACGTCAACCAATCACTGAATTTTTACTGAATTCCCTTATATTTTCTTACATAAACTCTCTGAACTGTCTTTTTAGATCACTTAATTCAGAATCCTCTGGATTCCCAATTTGCAAATTGCGGTACCCCCTCAATAAAATCACTTTAATTTTAATTTCAAACATTTTGCTCTATGACAAAAGGAAGGAAGGAAAGGAGGGAGGGAGGAAGTGAAAAAGGAAGGATAGGAAGAAAAAGGGAGGGAGGGAGGAGAAAGGAAGGAAGGAAGCAAGACAATAATACCTAGGTATCATAACAAGAGAGGAAATCCACTATTAGAAGGATGATGTGAAGCTGAAATGTCTCCTGAGGTTTCACAACCAGATATAGGCCTTGGGGGTGGAGTTTTAACACTCATGCAAGAAGAAGAGTCCCAATCACAGATCCCATGCCCATGAGTGTGGGGAACAGAAATGAAGCTACTTGCATAAAACTAAGACAAGAAAGTTCTGCCTTATCTATAAAATGTGAACTAGAAAAACTGTTCATTAACCTGCAAAAGTGGCAAAGTAATCTGCCCTCTGCTGGTAACATGGGTAGAAATAGTTACTTGAAAAAAATTGAGATCTCAGTCCAGTACCATATGCTGATATGTGGCCCAAATGCATATTCCTGAAATGGAATGAGGACCTGATGGGAAGCTGAGCTAAAGGCAGCTTGACCCTCAGAACTCTCTGATACAAACACAAACCACACTGGAGGGATGCTTAACAAGGCAGAATATGCTGGATCTCCAACAAAAACAACTTCTGCTGAGGATGTACTCATTGCAAAAATTTACAAACAACACAAAGAACTCAACCATCATGAGGCAGTTTCAACAAATGACAAAACTGGAAGAATACTTGTGCCAAGAGCTAGGAATAATAGAACAAAGCTAAAGTTAAAATGAATATGTTTAATATGTTCAAAAAGATAAAAGAAGCAAAATATTATAACATGCAAATGGAACAGATCATCTGTAAAAGTATTGAACAGAAATTCTAGAA